TCCTTTGCTTGACAAATCTATAATATCTAGATCTTAATCCAGTGTTGATGCTAAAGCTGATGAGTTTGTCGACTCCAAAACGATCTGATATTCATCATAGTATTTCAAACTATAATGTAATTTTCTGACCATTGCTTCTTAATAAACAAAAATTGAATTATTGGTGCGTTTGATTCATCTTCTTTCCCTTCTTCGAGCTTTAGTTTTTTTTTTTTATTTCAGGCTCGGTTCCAAGTTCCTCATGGATAAAAAAAAAAACTTAATGCAAATGTTTGGCTATAATGATTTAGAACCAAAGAAATTGTTTTCAAAATTCACAAAAAAAAAAAATTGATGTTGTAAGAGGTTACCAGAGTGAAGATGGTTCATGATTATAGAAAAAATGAGGTCCTGTTTTCTTCACAAAATTTTATTCAATCAAATAAAAATCTATGTGTCCCTCGACGCGTTTCGGCTGCTATTGCCATTATCAAGAGGAATCTTTTTCAATTAAACCTAAGAATTAACAAATTTGCAAAAAACTAGCAATAAAAATCAAAAAATTATCTTACAAATTGAGCCATATTCGGTCATCATGACAGTAGGTAGGAACTTTTATTTCTTATAAAACTATTAGAAATAAATTATAAAACAAATTGAAATACGATACAAATCAGAAAACATTAAAAACAAGAAAGAACATAACTAAATATTAAAATTTCAAAATTTCCAATTTTTCTCTTATGAAAAGGCAAAAGGCAAAACAGCTGTGTCATTCATTATTCATCAAAAGTCAATGTCCTTTAAAAAGTGAGGTTAGGTTAGTTCGATTTCTAGCAAGAATATTTCATGGTAAAGCGACCATCCCTTAAAAGGTTGAACCAAAATCTCAAAAAAGCAAGCAAATGAAAGAGTGAACTCAAAAAACTTCAAGAATCGTCAAACCAAATACAGAAGAAATAATTATATATTTTTATTTAAACAAATTGACAATTATGGCAGCCTCCCTGTAATGTCCCTGCACTGGGTCATTCAAAGAAACTATATTTTGTTCAGATTCCATCTTGGCAATCTCAATGTTCTCCATGGCATTCAGCTTTAAACCTTTCTTTTGGTTATGTAAAATTTAAAAAAAAAAATGTCTATCAAAGGAGTGCAAGTTTTGTTTTAAATGCATGCCAAAGGCTGACTTGTTGTCATTTGGGGATTTCAAACAACTTAAATGTTCTGAAATGCGTTTTTTAAAATTTCTTCCTGTTTGTCCCACGTATTGGGAATTACAGTCATTACAATTTGATTTATATACTCCACTTTTTTCTAGTGGGTCTCTCTTGTCTTTTGACTTTGAAAAAAGATTCGAGATGTTTTGAAATGGCCTAAATGAGATAATTAAATTTTTATTTAGCTTTTTAAGTATATTAGAAATTTTTATTGAAATGGGACCTAAGAACAATAGAGAAACATATCTTTTAGGTTGCCAGGGTAGAATCTCAACCCTGGCGAATCATCATTGTTTGATGATCCTAAAATTCTGTTAAATTTTTTGTGTGCTAAGCTCTCAATTAGTTGTTTGGTATAACCGTTATTGATGATGATTTGGTAGAAAATATTTTTCTCCTTTTGGAAGTCAAGTGGTTGTAACGGGATAGAAAAGAGTCTATGGATCAGAGCATGAAAAGCTGCTAATTTCTGTGAGATAAAGTGGTTAGAATCATTCGGAAAAATTTGATATTTTGGGAATGAAAACCGAGTTGAAAACACTTTGGTTCGACCAACATTGAAAGCATAAACTGACCCAATATTATATTTTTTACATGTTGGGTAAAATAAATTTTATTTTAGGTGAATAGCTACATACCCGTATATCAAACCACATTTTCCCTGCGTAACGAACTTTATCTGCTAAACAGTTAAATTTTGCAGGAGGTGGATTTCATCAATGTTTTGTTCTAAAATAAAAATTATGTAAGTATATGTTTTTTTCTGAACCATGCGGAAGAAATTAATGTGTTTTGAAACAAAATAAATATGCTTATGCTCTTCTGAAGTTACAAAAATTACCTACTCCAGTTTTTTTTTTACTTTTTCAAACTATTCTCTAGACTTTTCATTTGTTATGAGTTGAACTAGAATTATGATATTATAATATATAAATACAATTAATTTCAACAGAATTAAGCACATTTATTTACTATAATCTTTATTTGCTTTGTTCATTTAAAACCACAAAACGTCTTGAACATACCCCTTACAATGGTAAGGTAAAATCTAAAAACCTGCAAATCCTGGTTACAAATCGGGCTCTTAGTTGAATAAAACGTGCTCTTTGCTCACACGACAAACCAACAAAATGGCGTAGATTTTTGTCTCCAGGCCAGCAACCACTTTGGTTCCCAACGGCTCTAAAATCCCACAAAAAGTGGATGTTCCAAGGAACAAAATCAAGAGGACCGCTGGTAAAATCTGCCAACTACTTGTTGCTTGCTCAACGTGCGAATTTGAAGAGAACGACCCTATTTTAACCATTTACCAGGTGGGCTCACATAAGAAATTTAGCAGAATTCTATTTTTTTTCAAGATGCCCTCTGGTGCCAGATTTCCGGTCTTGAACAGGAAAACGAGACAATCAGCTTGAAACGGAACAACCCAAACCACATTGATGACCAGCAAAACTCAAAATTGTTATCCAATTTTCTCCCCTAACACTAATTAATTAATTAGTAATCATCATCCACCCAGTCTTTAGTCTAAAAAGCCATCAAAATGACCACTCATTCAGTGGTAGCAACTACAGTGACTCTATTACCCACAGTGGTCAAGAAACCTAAGCAACAGCGATGCCTAAAACGAATCAACAAGTGTCTCATAACCACTTTTATTGGGTGAAAATAAATGACCGGGAAAATGTAAATATTAGTGCAAATAAGGGTGAAAAAGCGATTTAAAGGGTGTGAAAGTGATTTGTGGTGTTGCAGAATTTTTAATAATGGAAAATACGAGACTCGTAAGTGTTGCCAATTGATATTTATTCGGAAGTAAACAAACCTTTTCATCGACATTTAGGGTCTTTTAGACAACTTTCGTAAGCTAAATAAAATAAATTTCGATCCTATTAGAAGGGCTTTATTATCCTAAAACTACCCTGTCACCTGAATACAAAGAATTAACTCAGTATTACCCCGGAAAATATACCTCTGCTCAACACAATATGTGGGTGTTTCGCATTCAATCAAAAAGGTAGAAAACTAGTAAAATCCAATGAGAAACCTATCAATCACCGAAAAATATTAAACCTCAGGTATAAAGCTTCATAATTACCCTCACAAATACCTGAATCAATTACCGAATTCATTCAAAATCTCAGTTACGTACTAAGGCAAAACTTGAACGTAACACTATGCTAATAATCAGGCCTATGATGTATCCACTTCTGTTATTTTATCAGCTACGTTATAGCTCAACATTTTTTTTTTTTATGGATCACATCTATACTTCTCTCTATTTTGACGTATAGAATGAACAGTGACAGGCAACTTAACGTTGCTGTTAAAATAACAGAAAATGATACATCATAGGCCTAATTACCTATTAGTTGTGTTTTTTTTTTGAGTAGTTCAAGTTGATTGGGTTATGAAAAAAATGATTAAAAATATCATTGAACATTTTGATGGGCTATAACCTAATGGCCTTTATAAAGGGCGGTAGGTTATATGTGGGTATAGATGTTTTTTTAGTCAGAAAATAAATTCCATGTGCTCAGTTCGTTGAATAGCCAGTTGTATATTAAGGCAGAGTGATACATTGTTGCTCTGAGCACAACTATCCGGGAAAGTCTTGAATATCTCGGAGATTTTATGCTTTAAAGGGAAACTGGAGGGTTTGAAGTAAAGATAAGATGTAAGGGAACAAAATACATATTTATTAGAAAGTAACAAAACATTTTTCAAAAAACTACAAAATTTTAAAAAATATATGAGTGGCCGGTATAACCCCGCAGCTTGGGGGTAACATCGGCCAGACTAGCGTTTAAATTCTGGTACAGGCAATTCGGTACCGACCAATAAGAACAAAGCGCTTTGACGTTACATTTTAGAGGTTATGTTATGTTGTTATTTGTTTACATTGCCGGTCGGTATGTATTTTGAATTTTGTATTCGTTTTTTTTTATGTTTCTTTATGTACATACCTCCAACTTAAAGACTCTAAGGTAAATTCTGGCGTAGTCTGTTTTTATAATGTGAAACAAGAAATATTTATTTGAAATATTTTTAGGACACATGACACATATCAAGCAAAGTTATTCTGATAAAATTGGAGAGTTAGCTCCACGACCCGAAAGACAGTTTACTTGTGAACTTTGCCCAAAATCATATAACAACAAAAAATCCTTGAGTAATCATGAAAGAACATTGCATAATGTGGAATACGTTAAACTTCAAAATTCATAATATGTTTGTCCTCTGTGCAAACTTCAATGTTTCCAAAAATCCAGGCTGTTTGAACACTTCAAGAACCAACATATTATATTGGCAGAGGTATCGGAACATGAATTTGAAACATTTCTAGAGTTTGAAGTTTGAAAGGAAGAGATTCAATCACATACAAATCAAAGTTTATAAAAAATGGAAATGGTGGTTGCATTTTCAAAAGAAAAACTAAATTTATTTCGAGATTTATTTATTACATTTTCCGTAGATTCGGACAATTCATTAACAAAAAGAACTAGAAACGGAATCTGAAAAATCAAGAATCAAATAAAATTAACAGAGTTTGATCTGCATCTCTATTAACATAAAACTAAATTGTCCGTGGTGTTGTTATTCAAGCATTCTATATGTAATTGAGTATCATGATGTACAGTTTTTACAGACTATTTAAAAATAAACTAAAACAATATTGTGTACTAGATAATCTTGTTTTATTTGAAAAGAAAAATCCACAATTTAAAATATATGGGTAGAGGAAACAAGAACATGAAAATAATAATAGGTACCTACCCTCATAAAGGACGTACAGTGTAATTAGTCAACATTATTATTATTATTTAATAGCAACATAGCAATTTTTGTTTGTTCTTCAGGTGTAGGTTTGGCCACTACTGATTTTGTTGTCGTTGCCTCCCTCTTTTTCTTTGTGGAAAATAGCCTCTGAGGATTTATTTTTTTGTTGTGAGGTGTTTTATTTTCAGCATATGGCCCTTTTAGAATAGGACAAGTGGTCTCTTCCGCTTCATCTATAGCTTTCAATTTAGTCCTAATTGATTTAAAATTATCTTTTACGGTTTGAAGGTGCTGTTTAGACTTAATCATCTGGGTTATATGATTCCATTCTAAATTCAACTCACTAATTTCGCTATTCAATGATATCTGAGACTTCATTTTATTTTTTGAAATCTCTGTAGTTAAAAAGGTTACTTCTTCTGTTAGGTCTGTGGAACTGATACACATTGCATTTGATTCATGACTAGATTGAGGCATACCTATACTTTATTTTTTCCCAAGATAGATTTTGACATTGAAAACTTTGAAACATAAACAATAACGCTTGACCCTAATTGGTCGCAAAATGAGGTGTTTCTGCAGGTTGACATCATTTTTACAATAGCGACCAATAAGCGGCATTAGTGGCATTGTTTATGTTTCAAAATTGACAATGCCAAAATCTAGCTTGGAAAAAAATAAAGTATAAGTGTTGACACAGCAGATGAATGTGTTTACACATGTTCCACTTTATGCTATAGTCGAGACAACTGCAGGAGAAAATGTGTATACATGTTTCGCATTCTTGGCATTTTAGCTTACAGGAACATTGTTCAGAAATTCTCTGGACAGAATACATATTTGATCCATTTGAGGACTGTATGAGCCAACCATCAGTATCTTCAATTATGTGTCGATCAGAAATAGACCGACTATTCTTGTGGCGAATTCGAAGATCAGCTACCTTGTTGGTAATTTTTCCTTTATGGAGTGTTATAATTCTATCATATAAACGGTCCCTCACAAACTTCATTAAAGTGCATAGCATTTTGTCTAACCTCTTTGCCTATTTGCCAAGGAAATACACATATTTTATTGTTTTGTGCATTCTTTCCAGGTGCATATTCGTGTTCAGACCACAATTAAGTCGGTAACAAAATGCCCATGCCGAAACACAGCTAACATATTCATTTTGAAAATATCTTCCGAAATCTTCAGTAACTGGATCCTCAATAAGCTGATTAACGACACTAGTAAGCATCTTTTCTAATGCATTCTGGTCTATCTCTTCCATCAAAGTTCTCACCAATTTGTAAGTTTCAACTTGTTTCTCTTTCAGTTTTATTTTTGATAAATTCTTCCGCCAGGCTTTATCGACGTGCCATATACAAAAAAGTCTGTGGGTTGGTATTGACATAGTAGTAATGAAGGCATTAAAGAAACAATTTGCCATGTCGGACATGAAAACATTGGGTCGAATAATACCACATTTTTCTTTGACACATTTAAAAAAAACTGAAAGAACATCTTTGTCACAGCGGTTAGTGATTAAAAAGCCACAGGGAAAACCCTGTCTTAACTCATCGAGTACCAATAATGTAACCAGCTCGAAATCATATTTATTTAATCCGTGCGTTCCATCTATACACAAAGCATCGTTGCCATATTTTTGAAGCATTTCAACCTGAGCATTGTTCATAATAATTAATACAAAGTCATTTGGACGTAAATCTGGGTAACTTTCACAGCACTGTTCCTGTGGTTTATAGAATAATATACAGTCTTTCGTGTCCCTTAGTTCACACACCCACGCATTGACACTAATTGCATCACTTTCATCTTTTCTTTCACAAGCATCCAGCTTAAAACTTTTTTCAATGTTGGCTAAATCCATTTTTGTTAGTAAATGTACACGTTGTATTTCATCTTGCGAAACTGATTCTCTGACTTCGTCGTCTAGAATGGCATCGAATGGAACACATGATGCAATTTTTCTAGCAATTGATTTTCTTTCATTCACACTGAGCGTTAAGTGGCCCAGATCATTTTCATGACCAACATGGGTCTGTACAAATCTAACCGATGTTATGCCACTTTCTTCAGTTTTAACTGTTAGGGATGCGGGACAAACTCCATTAATTTTATTGGATCCTTGATTTTTCAGATTCCGTTTCCTATCCTTTTTGTTAATGAATTGTCCAGATCTATGGCAGATGTAATACATAAATTTAGTTTTTCTTTTGGAACTGCAACCACCATTTCCATTTTTTATAAACTTTGATTTTGTGTTTAATTGAATCTCTTCCTTCCAAACTTCAAATTCTTGAAATGTTTCAAATTCATGTTCTGATACCTCTGCAAATATATTATGTTGATTCTTGAAGTGTTCAAACAGCCTGGATTTTTGGAAACATTGATGTTTGCACAGAGGACAAACATAATATGAATTTTGAATTTTAACGTATTCCACATTATGCAATGTTCTTTCATGATTACTCAAGGATTTCTTGTTGTTATATGATTTTGGGCAAAGTTCACAAGGAAACTTTTTTTCGGGTAGTGGAGCTAACTCTCCAATTTCATCAGGATGACTTTGCTTGATATGCCTCCTAAAAATATTTCAAATAAATATTTCTTGTTTCACATAATAAAAACAGACTACGCCAGAATTTACCTTAGAGTCTTAAATTGAAGGTACGTACGCAAACATTTTTTGCACTCAAAATTAGCCATATCTGCTTGTAGGTATATTGTGTTTATCCTTATTAATTGAATAATTAATATAATCGTCAAAATACAAAATTTCAACTCGGAGCGAAAACTGAAAACTGCGAAAAGAGCGATAATAGCCATGTACAAACACATACCGACCGGCAATATCATACAAAATAACAAATAACATAACCTCTAAAATGTAACGTCAAATCGCTTTGTTCTTATTGGTCGGTACCCAATTGCCTGTACCAGAATTTAAACGCTAGTCATCGGCCAGGGGCCGCAATTACCCAGAATAATAATGATTGGCAAAAATCGCATACGTGAAGTTTTTTTTTTACGCCATCCGTACATTCAATGTGAGCCCATTCTGAACAGATCACACATCTTAACCAGAGTTCCCGGTTTTTCCCAAACTCTCCGCAAATAATGCCAATATCTTCCAATGGTCGAGGCAGTGAGGGTTAATAACACTGCTCAGCAAATCAGCACCAGGAGGCAGTTTTGAGTGAGAAAAGCTTCCTGGACAGTCGTTATTGTTGTGAGCGATTGAGTCCACACTATGGGTGGGGTTGACAGGGCCTTAGGACTTACGTATAGCGCTTAGTGGTAGCGCAAGGTACAAGGAAGCACTTTGGGTAGTACTCCCGGGAAAGGACCCTATAAAAATAGCAGTTTTCAAAAAACTGCTAGAAGCAAGCACAAGAAAGCATAATAAGAGGAATATTTACCTCGTTTAAATGGTGTTGGGAATCTTGGGATGGTTGAAAATCCTTTTCATTGCCACTCAAGCAGTAGTGGGAGCGATTTCGAACGAATCCTGTAAAAATTCAGCTAATGTAGCTTCCAAAAGCAGACAAAAATATTAATAAAGTTTACCTAGAGAATGCAGTTTGCTGATTCAAATCCTTAAAGTTGGTAGAAAGGGCTCTGGCACATGATACGGCGTGCAACTTTCAGACAGAATCCTCTTGCAGAGATTTTGTGAAAAGTCCCAGGAAAATGACGAAGCTACTAACGTAAGGTAATTCCAAATAGAGCACTTACCACAATTCAGCGTGAAATAATTCAAAATCTCCAAGGATGGGTTTGATAATTCCTAGAATTATTCACGACACTTGCTGAAAATGCAACCGGCCGAAAAGAATGCCCGAAAAATGAAGGATGACTTACGAGTCTACGCATGAATTGCCCTCAGGGCACAAAAGGAGACCCAATATGGTATAATCAAATTGAGGAGGATTATATTTTAGGACAAATTCCATCTTCGTTCATTACCCAGATAAGCAAGGGCTTTTGCTTTTTGTTATTCAGGCAGTGAATAGGTCAAATAGACAAAGGAACTATTTTTTTGTCAGAAAATAAGTTCCATGTGCTCATTTCGTTAAATAGCCATTTGTATATTAAGAGTGCAAAGTGATACATTGTTGCTCTGAGCGAGGAGTTTGACTCGTCGCAGCTATCCGCGAGAGCGACAATATTAGGGTAGAGTGGGGGTATTCCGACTATTCTTGTGGCGAATTCGAAGATCAGCTACCTTGTTGGTAATTTTTCCTTTATGGAGTGTTATAATTCTATCATATAAACGGTCCCTCACAAACTTCATTAAAGTGCATAGCATTTTGTCTAACCTCTTTGCGTATTTGCCAAGGAAATACACATATTTTATTGTTTTGTGCATTCTTTCCAGGTGCATATTCGTGTTCAGACCACAATTAAGTCGGTAACAAAATGCCCATGCTTGAATATCTCGGATATTTTATGACTTAAAGGGAAACTGGAAAGTTTAAAGTAAAGATAAGATGTTAGGGAACAAAATACATATTTATTAGAAAGTAACAAAACATTTTTCGAAAAACTACAAAATCTTAAAAAAATACATGAGTGGCCGGTATAACCCGGCAGCTTGGGGGTAGTAGGTATCAGCCGGGAGCCGCAAATACCCAGAATATTAATTATTGGCAAAAATCGCATACGTAAAGTTCCTTTTTTACGCCATCCTGTACACTGTCAGCCCATCCTAAACAGATCTCACATTATTAATTCCAGAACATCCAGAAACTGGCATTATTTCTTCAAAAGTTAGGTTTGGTCTTATTTTATCTTCGTTTGTGACGTTTGTGGCTACCTTCATAACTTATTCTTTTTCATCTCGGCTACTCTTTTTTGAAGAAATCAGCTCATCTAAGTTTGGCGGTTGCAAATTTTCAGCAGGGGCAAAAATTTCTGCGCTGAAAACATCATGGTTGACGGGATATATTCCTGTTTCCTCAAATCCTTTAGTAGCTTTTTCGGTAGTTGCAACTCTTCCGAAAGCTTTGTTGAACAATTCTGCAATGATATTGGGCGTAATTTTTTCTACTGTGTGATTTCTCATAAATTCATCACATTCTGAATTATATACTGCCTTCAAAGGATATTCCCAAATGCTCCAGGGTTAACTTCCCTTTGCAAATATTTGAATGGGAAGACACCAAAATACGGTCTCTATCTTAGTTAGTTAAACATCAGCATCAATCGACCCAACAGTATGATGCGTTTTCATCAATAAGGAAAAATCAGAATGTATTGTAAGAGTGCTTTGCTCCGATTCAGAACAAGATTTTGAAGTTCTGGATAGGACCTGAGCAATAGGGTCCGACAAAGCAATTTGTGGAAGTAGCGATGACCTAAATTTCGATCCAAATTTTCTCAGTCAAAAAAATAATTGGTAAATTTTCAATAGTTTCATTATTAAATATTATTTCGTGGTTTATCCCAATAAATTCCCCCAGAGGTTCCTCTGCCTCAACCCCACTAATTTTATTTGGAGGTTCCAAGCTATTATTATTGACCTAAAAAAAGCACGTTGAAGATAAAAATTGTGTATAAATATTATGTACATATTAATAATTAAACTATTAGTGTGGCACGTTTTTAGTTATGATCTAGCTTCAAACATATAACAATAAGATTGAAGATGTAAAATATTGTTGAAATAACACAATCTAAATTCAAGATAAAGTTTGTTAATCAACGTAGTCCTAAGTGCTGTAAATTTAGAATTTTGAAGTTATGTAACTAATAATTGACTATAGACAATTTCATAATAATTTTTGTCATAGAAGCTATTGAATAATAAGCATTTTTTGTGAAAAGTATAATATAGGTACCTACTCACATTGACTACTAAACTGCTGATTCCCCTTTCTAATCTTATTTCATCGCCAATGTTGTTACCAAGCTGATCAATTTCTTTGTCTGTTGAATACTTAAATTCCGCCTCGGATATTTTCTGTTTTAAAAAATATTATAGGTTCTTGAAAAATATGCGAGTGAAGTAAAGAATCTGAAAAAACTTTATAAAATATTTTTAAGAAACAAATTCCAAGAGAAATGACATTGCTAGATGAAAGATTAATTAAACTGAGCAAAAATAACTAATTAGGAAATGTCTTGTCAAAATTGGTCCTTATTTTGTAAACACAAATTTGAAATAATTGCCATATATGCTGACTTTGTGGGGCATAGTTAATGTTCATTACATAGTAACATTTGAAAAGACCATCAAACGCCTCAGTTAGGGTCGGTTTATCAATCAAAAGATAACTCGCAGAGTTTGCTGACCCTGGATTAACTCTAACTCTGGGCTAACTACCTAGTTAAGTCGAAAGGTGTTTATCCAAGCTTTTTAATAATAATATAATAAAAATAATAAAACATTACAGGTATACAAGATATCCAATAAAAACATGCACAGTTTTAGGAAAAAAAATAAATGTATAAAACATAGATATAAAAATATGTAAATACATGAAAATAAACAAAACTACAAAAGGTTGAAAAAATAATTAAATAACTGTTTTTTTTGTACAGGTAAGAAAATCTATATCACTATCCCTAGCAACATCATTCACTCTTCTTAAGCACCTAGTTATGGGTGAGGGGGAGGAGATATTACAAATTTTAAATATATTATTTCTTAGTCTTAATCTAGGGTCAGGTACATCATAGCTTATATATTGTAATATATCAGGTACAGTTATATTGTTTCTCAATATGTTAAAAATAAGGATGTCAGTGAACGCCCTTCTCTTTTCCAACCCTATAACATCAAACTCCTCCAGTTGTGAGTTATATGATATTAGGTGTGGGTAACCTGGATAATATCCATGCCGCTTGAAATAAATAAACCGTAAGCATCGCTTCTGAATTCGCTCTAATGATTCGGAATGACACGCTGTGCTAGGATTCCATATGATACTACCGTATTCTATCTTGGATCGTACAAGAGAATTAAACAAGATGAGAATCACATTAGAGTTGCGAAAGTTGTTACATGTGCGTAGGACAAATCCAAGTTTCCTCATACCTTCTATATACAGCTTTTCTATGTGCTGATTAAAATTGAAATTCTTTGTAAAACATATACCTAAATCTACTATTTCCTGCACTCTAGTAAGACTATTATCACAGATTTTATAATCACAAATTATTGGCTGTTTAGTAGTACGATCAAAATACAAGCATTTACACTTATCAATATTGAGTTGCAGGTTATTATTTTTGCAATATTGTACAAAAGAGTCCAAATCGTTTTGTAATAAATGACCATCTGACTGATCTTTAATAACTCTATATATTTTCAAATCATCTGCATATAAGAGAAATTGCGAGTTCTTGATATAAATGGATATGTCGTTAATAAAAAGATTAAAGAGAAGCGGACCCAGTATTGAACCTTGAAGTACTCCAGAAGTTGCCAGATAACCATCAGAAAGTGCATTATTAAACTTTACGACCTGATGCCTATCACTAATATAGGAACCTAGATATTGTACAAGATTGGGGTCAAAAGATAGTTTTGAAAGTTTGCCAATGAGAATTTTATGATCCACTCTGTCAAAAGCTTTTGCCAAGTCTGTATATAAAACATCAACTTGACAACCGCTCGACATTTGGTCAGCTACATACTCAGAAAAAACAGTGAGATTTGTAACTGTTGACCTTTTCTGTAAAAAACCGTGTTGTTGTGGTATTATGATGGGTTCTACATGGTGGTATATTTTTTCATAAACTACTTTTTCGAAAATTTTTGAAACGGTGGGTAAAATAGTAATGGGACGATAATTATTGACAAGACTTGTATTTCCATTTTTATGGACTGGTGTGACACAGCCTTTTTTAAGTTCAGCTGGAAAGTAATTTTGTGATAAAGATTTGTTTATAAGTATTTGTAATGGTAATGTTAAGAAATCTGTATATGCTTTGAAAAAATATGCTGGTAGTCCATCCAAGCCCACAGCAGCTTTAGGCTTCAAGCATTGAATTCCAGAGCTAACATCTTCCACACTCACACTTTTTAGTGCAAGTATATCTAGGTTAGAGACATCTACAGAATTATCACAAATATCACCACTCGAAAAAACAGAACCAGGACTATTATTGTACATATCTTTGAAAAACTCTGAAAATGCGTTAGCAACAGCTGCATCCTCAGTATAAGATTGATCACCATAAGTAAATTTGTGGCACAGACTGCTATTCTTTCGTTTTTCCTTAACAAAGTTCCAGAACATATTGGGATCATTATAGATGTTATCTTCTTTTTCTTTCAAGTATTGATTATGACATTGCCTAATTAGACTTTTTGTTTCACGTCTAAGAGAACTGTACTGTTGACTATAGAACTCCCTTTGTGAATTATGCTTTTTCATCATTTTATGAAAATGTTGTTTTTCTTTTATTTTATGTATTAATGTTTTCGTAAACCACATTGGAAACTTAGGGTCAACAGTGCTAGTTTTTGTTTTGGGAATGCAACGTTCCAATATGGTATTTAACGTGTGATAGAAAAGACTTAGGCAATGATCTACATCATCACAGTTTGACAGCATCAACCAGTCTTGGTCCTGTAACAAGGAATATAACTGATAATAGTCTCCCCTTCAGATTTCAAATTTGCTCCGACAGTATGTCTAATTTTAAAACTTATTTCGAGTGGTGGATGATAACCATCTATTATACCCACTAGAGTATCATCAAGGCAAGCCGTCACCTGGGCCTCTGTAATATTTGTAAGTACCAGGTCAAGTGTGTTACCAGAGTTATTTCTATTATCATTGATAGAATAAAGGTCATAATCGTTGATAAGGGTATTTATTACCTGTGCTTTAGTAGAACCAGTAGACCAATCATATGAACAGCCGTTGATATCAGGAACATTAAAATCTCCTACAAATATTATGTTGTCGTAATTACACAACTCCTGCAAAGCTAGAGATTCAACAAAACTGATATACAGCAATATTAGATGAACATGAAATATAAACTATACAAATCAGAAACTTAGTATGACGCACAGACAAACTAACACACAGCCACTGGAAATCAACAGCAGAACTCCTACTTACGATCACGGGTTTATAAATATTTTTTATACAGCATAGGACTCCACCCCCTCTAGAAACACCAGAATAGGTGTAATCCTTATCATTTCTATATACAATATATCTACTATCACAGAATTCAGAGTTATAAAACGAGTCATTCAGCCAGGATTCACTAATACATATCACATCCCCTTCTGCATTCAAGATATTCTGATATACCTCAGCGGTTTTAGTTCGTAGACCCCTAACATTTTGATACAATATATTAAATAAAGTTGGATTTGAAATTTGATTGCCTTTACTAGAATTAGGATTGTCTGTTATTCTGTTGTTGTTCGAGGTATGCTTCTTTTGGCTAAAAAAACCGAGACAAGGGCACCTTCAGGCCACACTTCTTTTTTCCAAGCTCTTTTTAGGTTATTGTGATTGATGCTGATTTTCATAGAACTGTAAATATCAGGACGTTTCGACGTATGTTGTTCACATTTCACTTCTGGAAAACTGGATTTAAGAAGATTTTCAAGTTCTTCTGGCTTAGCATTTGGCTGCAACCGCGTTACGTGAAGCGAGATGCTTTTTGGAATAGCGTTGAGATTTGCATTATCAGTGTTTCCACCCACAACAAATCTTCGCCTCTTCTTCTGTTTCGATGGGGAGCCTGCTGCCATTCTGCTTCGTTGAGTTCCTCATTATGATTACTTGGAATCAAATTTTGGACTTTGTTTGTCGTTGGGTTCAGTAATCGTATTTTGGTTTCTAGTACCAGATCCTTTGCTCGTAGCAACAACACTTGTACTATTACTAGTACTAGTGCTGGTACTAGCCCTATTACTTGATGTAGTCGCATCAGAATTCATTTTAACAGTTTCATTATATTTTTTTGAAGTGTTAATTTTAGTTTGGCTATTGTTGTTACTGTTACTAGCATTAATTTTAGTTTCATAAGACAAAATTATTGTTTTCTGGCTAGAATATTCCATCTCTGAGATTAATTTTTGTGGGAGTATTAATTCTCGTTTACAAGCATCAAGTTGATTTTTTATAGATTCAAATTCAATTTCCGTGTTATTTTGTTTACCTTTACAGCTGGTGCCCGGTGATAGTTTGACCTTGCATGGGTCACATACCCATATAATATTCGGATTGTCGACAAATATTTTATTCCATGCATCCTTTACTGAAACACACATTATGAAACTTTTTTCCACACAAAAAACAACTTGTCCCTTTAGAATTCACGACAAAATTGTCGGAGCATTTATTGCACACGTCCGCACTCGTCGGCATTCTTATAGATAATAATAGGAAATGATAATAATCCAATAATCGTCAATTATTGGCCTATAAATCAGAATTTGTCACTATCTTAAGGGTGATCATGCATTGTGCTTTTCTCCTGGCTGCATCAGGGGCTCTGGAGACATCAGTTTGAGTAAGTACTCCTGATTAATGACTAATTTTATTTTAATTTATTTTGACAAGATCGTTGATTGTGTATCTATCATTTTAATGTTTCTTACTATGTCGTCTCATGTGCCTTATTTCTCCCGTTCCAGGGCGTGAAAAAGGAAAAATAAAGTTCCGAAATGTCGCCGAAAGCTAAGTAGTTTCTTTTGGTTACCTCCCCGTCCTTAAACCCAAGAAATTTCTACCATAATTAATAATAGGGACACGAAATGATTATAATTATTAGAATTATGAGCCCCCTTCCAATGGTTTTAAGCTAGGCCGGCCTTTAAGCTAACCACTTAAATCATAGTTAGGTTATGAAAAACCAAGGGCTAGTAAACTCACAGGTTCTTCGAAGGTTGGCGTTACTTATGCAACGTTGCCAGCTCACTATCATTGTTTTTTTGAAATTTTCTGCTCATAACCTCACTTATTTATGTTATTTTTTTTTCCCCTTTCCATAGGTGCACAATGCTACCATATTTATTGACACTCCTCTACGAAACAAGTTAAAAATAAACAACGTCGTGCGTCTTGCAAGTACGTCGCAAACTATTGAAATATACATGTTCCAATCACTCCGGTGTGAAACCAGGCATATTTTTCTAGGTTCGAAAATAATAGCATGCTTCTTGCTTTCTGGTAGCAAGTCGTACATCACATGCTACTTTGCACACAAGCCGAAAACGGAAAGTTTGATTTCGTGTATTTTGTGTAGAAATGAACAATATACTCGAATTCTCAACAAATATAGGTTTGTTGGGAATTCAAGTCTATTCTATGCTTGATTTGTCCTAGAATAAATAAAATAATTGTTTCTTTTCGCAAGCAAAATCCGCAAAGGGATTTGACCGAAACTTTACGTGCCTGTGCTAGAGGCACCGCTAATGCATGTTCTAGAAATTCTAAAACATCTCGATTATCATCACTGAAATCTAGGTCTTCCATCTCTTCACAATATCAAAATTCAAGCCAAAACCATCACTTTTTCAAAAAAATCAGATAGAAAATAAGAGAAAATGTTGAGTTTAACTTAGGGTCAAATACGCTAACTTGCCGCGAGAGCGCGGGTTAACTTTTTCCTGGAATACCTTTCGAGTAAGCAGTTGATGGATGGATAATTACTTGTAACAACTTTGACCTAAGGTTTATCCGTAACTCATGGGGTAACCCTCTATTGATAAACCGGCCCTTAGTGAAGTAAACTGGTATTTTAGACGATTTATAACAATATAAACGCTTTTTATTGTTTCTAGGTTATCGCCATCAATAAGTAGGTAAGGTTGCACTGTTTGCTTCTTTTCAAACGCTTTATTAATTTTATCCTGGATACATTTGTCAATATCTCCAGCGTTCTAAAAAAACATAAATAAACCATCGAAGTAATGTCACAAGAAACTATAACATAAAGGGAGAGTAGTATATTATAAAATTAAATAAAAACCATTTAAAAAGCGTCATTATAATACTTAGTACCGGAACATCGAACAATTATATTGAGAATTTCATACATCTGTCAAAACTCGTATTCCAACAATAAATTGACATGTTTTGATTGTTGATTTGAACCAATCAGAGTGTAATTACGCGATAATTTGCAAATTATCAGATAATTGCATACTAACTGGCGCGAAAACTGGTGTTTTGTCATTTTTTGACAAAAAATTTAAATTTTGGATTTATGAAATTCTCTCATTAAATACAACTCGTGCAATGAAAATATATTTATAATTTTCGACAAATTTGGACTCATGCGTTTTTAACTGAAAAAGGCACTCGTGCACTACGTGCATTCGTGCTCTAAAAATGCATTCGGGCAAATTTCCCAAAAATTATCAATAATTTCCATTGCACTAGTTATATTACTATTGATAATTTGTGGAAAAAAACAAGATTCGTTTTTGTTTTGTTTTTTTTTACATCACTATTGTGTAATCCAGGTCCCAGGGCATAAATTCCCAAGAGTCCACTAGTGATCCTACTGCAGATAAAAAACCTGAATCTAAAAATTTTATTAGAAATAAAACCTAACAAAATTAAATTAGAAGCCTAATCATTACCAAAAGTTATGTAAATATCATTTTATTATCATTATAATTATAAAATCTTCGTAGGTTTATTTTTTTTAGTATGTTTTCGTCTGTTTTAGGTTATTTTCAGCATCAATAATAGGGTCACTTAACAGGACATTATGCTTATTTACACCCTGAAACCAGAATCTGAAGTCCTTCTTGAAAACTAGGAAGTTGGACGGTGGCAAAATATCCAAAAATATCCTTTAATAATGTAGTTTACCTTTACATGCAGTAACATCCCTTCGATACTCTCTAGTACCGAAAATTTCCAGTATTTACGATTTGTACGGATCCTTCCTCATGGGGGAAATAAATAGCTCAAAAATGTTAGCTGCAAAGGCAGGTTTTCATCTAAAAAAAAAAACTTACATTAGATGTAATAACATTGGGAAGTTTATTTACAATACCTTCGTCTTTCAACGTTCTTAGAGTCTTCAGTAGTGAAAGGGCTGTTGCATCAGTAACTTCGTTATCTTTCTATGCAACAACTTTTTGGAAAAAGCTTTCCCAAGTCAATTGGAACGCTACATGAGAAGTAGGGATTTTTTTTTTTCAAAATCCAAGCTAATCTGGAATTAAAATAAAATAGATAAAAGACTGTTAATTTTATCATGCCTAATACTAATATATACTTTTTGAGAAATGGATAGTTTGAAAACTTTGACAGAGACTATACTGTTGAACAGTTCAACTTGGCGAATAACTGTTTGCACATTCCTGTCTTGATTTTTCTCTAGTCTACCAGTTGGTGGTAGCTCCCGATCTGGCAAAAAATAACTGGGTAACATAACAGATTTAGAATCAGCATCCCCAAAAACCCATCAATTCATATTTTCAATCACACAAAAATTTGAAGAAAATCGCATCATTAATAACCAAGTGAATATGAAAAAGTAATATAGACATAAGAATGTGAAAAAAAAAAATCCCGGAGTAAAACGATTTAGCTGTAACAGTTTACCGTGTATAGGAATGATAGGTAGGGGGTCAAAATACAAAAAGTAAATAAAATGTTTCTCCTTCAAAATAAAAATTTGCCATATTATGGGAGCTAGGTTCATAATACACGTAAAAAGGAAATGTCACTAGTGGAAAAAGAGTATAATCTTGTGTGTTCATACCAAAACAGAAGCTCGAAGATAATTTAAAATTGGCTACCTTTCAAGAAATTCATAAACCGATGATGAAACATGAACTGTGGACCTGACTTTCCAGGTTTGGGTCCAATATTCCATCATTTTCTCCCAGGGCTCGGTATTGTGTTGAAGCCATGTAATTTCTTCTTTGAATGTCTCTAAAAATTGTATGTATTTTGTTTCGATTACAACTTAGTTTTATTGTAAATATTATTATTTGAGTAATATACTAGTATTAGGTATGTGCCTCATACATACCTTCTAAATTATCTTTGCTGTGTTTTGGAACAATGGCAAAATCTTCGTCATCTTCATTTTTTGTGTTTCTTTGTTTATTGGTATCACCAGATCGAAATAATATATTTCTGCAATGATTTACAAGTTTGCTCTTGGCCATTACAGGCTTGTGAAATGGGCTGCATGATTTTTTGACAGATGGACAATAATAAATTCCAATTGGCTCTGTGGGAAAAAGCACCACTATTTTAGCAGCCAAAGATTTTTGTACACCATCTTGTTGAAGTTGGCTAGAAAATAATAATATTCTTTTTACAGAATGGTTTCCAGGCATCCTTAATGGCATTGAGTTGACCTGCTTTACTCGCTGGCTCTATTTTAATTTTTCTTCCCTCTTTCTGTAGCTCCGGGGTTTGTCCGACGCTGTCTCTTGGCCTCATGGTCTGGGTCTCATGTTTTTTTTTTCTGCCCTTCTCCCTTCCTCGTGTATTGTTAAGAGGACGGGCTCTTGAAGTTTTAAAAAAAAGCTTATGTTTGTTGCTAGCTGAGAGAATCTGTCGAATTTCAATGATTTTCTGACTATTTTGGTACAACGTTTTACTTTGTTCTATTTACTACGCGAGGTTACTACCAAACAAAAATTGGTCCACTTGAAATCCCATTAAAATGCCCTTAAACTTATTTTTTAACTTTTTATTGAACCCCATATCAACCAATAATGCCTTTCTGTTGTAGGATTCGCCATATTGGCCATCAGCCAATAATTGATCACCAACCATCACAGCCATTCAACTAGAGAAATTCGATCTTCCTGAGAAGTAGGCCTGGGATCCTGTAAGGTTTTTAAGTAGGACCAATAAGGCCAGGCCACATTGTTACATAAAACAAAACGTAGGGGATGAAACTCACTTCATGGTGCTGGGTGAACTATTTAGTTGCTTAGCGTCAAGGGTTTAAACTGGGCTTTGTTTTTTAGAATTATTTTTAGTTGAATACTGGGGTGTTTCTGTTCTCTATCTTATTTTTACGTAGATACTTATTGAATTTGCACTCCTCTTGGGTTGTGTCGAGCGGGGGTTCTAGGATATAACTTTATATATATTCTTTGAATTGATTGGGTTGTTTCCCTATTATTTTAAATTATACAGATAAATGTATAATCGTTAAGACGTCGGCGAGGAGTTGGCAGATGGTTGAATTGATTTTCTTATACTAGACCCCCATACTCAAACCTAAATTTGCATATTGAAAATTTTGACAATATTTTGTGTTGTTTAATAATGCAGTATGTCATATGCATGGGTGATCTAAACACAGACTTTTTTAAATTTAAATAACCCCGCATTGAACTGTTTCGAATCTTATAACTTGACACAAATTTTGAATGAAACAACCCATATTACCAGTCACAGTAGCAAATAAATAGATCCAATTTTTCTTTCAAACTCACAGGCAGTTTTAGCATGCCGTACGAAATCAGCTGATACATTTTCAGACCATAGGCTGGTGTATGTTGAATTAGATTTAAAAACAAAGATGATAGCACCCAAATTTGTAACTTTCCGTTGCTTTGATAATTTTGAAATTAATAACTTTCTGATTGATTTGCAGTCTTTACCTTGGAACAATATTTTGTATGAAAATAATATCGATTTAAAATTAAATTATTTTGAGGAATATGTCTTAAGTATGTTTAACTTCCTTGCACTAATAAAAACAGAGTGACTAAGCCAAAAGCACCTTGGTTGACCCCAAATTTGAAGTTACTTATGAAAGGAAGGGATATACAAAAATATAAAATTTCTAAACTAACGACTGATTGGGCTCAATACAAGGAATTGCGTAACTATACAGTGGCTATGGTTAGGTCTGAAAAAAAAGCATACATTAATTTTATATCAAATCAAAAAAATTCAAAAGAAACCTGGAGGGCTCTGAGTAACTTAACCTTTAACGGCTACGCAGTGGTCTGCCAGACACCTGGCGAAAATCATTTTCGGTTTTTTTGAAAATACTTGTGTTTTGAGAGGTGGGCGTTTATGTACCTTTTAGTGGATCACTGTCCCACACATCAGTAATGATATAACGCCAGTAGAGTGAGCAGGGATTTTTTGATGATAGATACTTGTCTGCTAGACCACAGAGTAGCGATTACTTGAATACCTCCAGATGACCCAAAATTTCAAAAATGGGCACAAAATCTATCGATTATTCAAATTTTGATGAACTTGATAACGATATAGATAACGAAGAACACTTAGATACCCTCAAAGCTGGTGCGAAGCAACTCGGAAATTTTCCAGCCCCTGAGGAAGTATATAGAGTCTATTATTTTCAAAAGAAATTATAAATAAAATAATTTTTCATATTATTAAAAAAATTACAGGACCTAAGCTGAGTTTGTTTGTTAACAGTTTCTAGTTTTATTTTACCCAAATTTTGGATATAATTCGAGATTAATTTGAATTTTAAAACACGAATTCTAATGGTGTGTCTGTGAGACCACTCTGTAGCGGTTAAAGGATTTTTTTCCACCGTAGCCGTTAAAGGTTAAATGTTTATTCTCGAGAAAAACAAAACATTCAATTGCCAGATACACTTGCAAATCCAGAAATTATCAATCAGCATTTTGCCCAATATATACAAAATATATCTGACTATTCGAATAAAATAAATTTTTACAAAAGTAATACGTATAATAACAACATATTCTCTTTTCGCATGTGCACGTTGAGGGAAGTTAGCAAGGAGCTTCATAGCATAAAAACTAATACTTGTGGGAATGATGGTGTCACTGCAACTATGCTTAAATATTGTAGCCTGTTTATTGAGCCGTATCTCACGAATATAATAAATTCCTGTATTGAACAAAACTATTTTCCAGACAGTTGGAAAATCAGTATAGGTAAACCGCTACCAAAAACTAATCAACCGGAAACCTTTAATGATCTTCGAATAATATCTATCTTACCAGCTTTGTCCATAATTTTGGAAAAAAATAATTTTTTGGGAAGAAATGCAAATGGTGGTTTTAAATATTTATTTACAAATACATTGGACTCTGTTTATGATAATCATTGGGTTTTTAGGGTGATAGGTATATATATATTTTTTTTTTCCTTTATTTCAACATGGTAGTTAAACAATATATGTATGAACCTAAACTAGAGACCCTGAGCTGGAGAGCTATACGGGTCATTCAGTATCACATATAACATTATTACAATATACCGTATTATTTTATACATTATACAATATCACACAAGAGAAAATATCCAGTACAAGTAGGTACTGTATCACAAAGTTGTTTCATTTATGAATATCTTAGCTCTAAATTGCAGATAAAGTCTTTCATTGTACAGTCCCAAAGTATCCATCGAAGATCAGCTGCTTCAGCTTACACTTGAAGCAAGTTATGTTCAATCTTTTAACAGGTTGTGGAATTCGATTGTAGTACCTTAGTCCTTCTGATAAGATGCTGCGTTGGCCAGTTGTAGTGTTGATTGCCGACGTTCTTAAGTTTTCATTGAGTCTGGTATTGTGCTGATGGACTGTGTTGGCTGGGATGAGACTTATTGTAGAGTGAATATTGGAAGTCTTGCAAGAATGGATAAAGATGCAAGATTGCAAGATATACAAAGAGTGAACGTCCAGGATGCCATTCGGATAATATAAGTCTTTTGTTGGAAACAGAAATGGCAGCCTAAACAATTTTTTTATAGCACGATTTTGGAGAACTGACAATGGGTGCAGTTTGTTCAGGGAAGCATTGCCCCATAGCAGAGTTAGATATGATATGTGAGAATGGATGAGGGAATTGTATATCATCTTACGATTCGTGATGGACAGATAGTCCGATATTCGACCAAGTACTCCAATTGCTGGTGTAACCTTTTTACATATATGCAAGATGTGCATATCCCAAGTAAGTTTTGAATCGACAAAGAGTCCCAGGTATTTGATGCAGTCTGCACGAGTCAATGGGAGACCCTGGAAGTTTATTGTGAAGTCAGGCCAGGACTCAAACTTTGGTATTACCATACAGGGTGTCCCACTAAGGTCGACGAGGTACGTTATTATGGAAACCATAGACCTTACGGCATCGGGATTTTTTTCTTCATCACTAAATCGGCCCAGAGAAATTGATGGAAATTATTTTCAAGTTTCCAAGATGGCCGCTAGGGGGCGCAATCACGATGATATAACTAAAAATTCAAATTTTCTCGAACAATCGCAAACAGAAATCAAAAGTTCGTTAATTTTTGCGCCAGTTTGCTTATTAGCCTTTTTTCGTATCTCCACTAATAAGAGCGGGGGAAGCTGGGGAAAAAATAGTTTTAAAAATTGCTGTATCTCCCATACCCTTTATCCAAACTCATTCAATTCGGGCTTATTCGAAAAAGAATTTCATTGTTATTAAGAGCACCACTTCGTTCGGGGTCGATAGTTCCCACCGCGTCTTCTAGAGGGCGCTATTTAACCAAGATCCAGTTTTTTTTTAATTTTCTGGCAAAATCCAAATGGCATGATATATTTTTTAAAAACTCTGCTTAAAGAGCAAAAAATTATCTACATGTTGGCGCAAACCGTAATCCGATATCTGCATTCGTTTTCAAGTTATAATTTTTTATATTCTTATATATATATATATATATATATATATATATATATATATATATATATATATATATATTATATTTTTTAATATTTCAAGATAAAAAAAAATTCACGCCAGTATTTTGGTAAACAAATTACTTGCAAACGAGTTTTTTAGATTTTTCGACAGGAAAAATTAGAAGCACGAGTGGTCTTAAGAATGTTTCCTTACTGAGCAAAACAATAAATTTTTATTAATTTATTAACATTTATGAGTATTTTATTTTGTTTTCATGTCATGTCATGAAATTTTTCCACTTGAAAATAATTTTTGACCACAAAATGAGATTTTTTGATTGGTTTAAAATGACAGGAGGGAGATATTCGATTAAAATAGTTATTTGCAAATAACTTGAAAACGAATGCAGATATCGGATTGCGGTTTGCGCGAAAATGTAGATAATTTTTTGCTCTTTAAGCAGAGTTATAAAAAAATATATCATGCCATTTGGATTTTTCCAGAAAATTAGAAAAAACTGGATCTTGGTTAAACAGCGCCCTCTAGAAGACGCGGTGGGAACTATCGACTCCGAACGAAGTGATGCTCTTAATAACAATGAAATTCTCTTTCGAATAAGCCCAAATTGAATGAGTTTGGATAAGGGGTATGGAAGATACAGCAATTTTTAAAACTATTTTTTCACCAGCTTCCCCCACCCTTATTAGTGAAGATACGAAAAAAGGCTATTAAGCAAACTGGCGCAAAAATTAACGAACTTTTGATTTCTGTTGTTAAAACAGTACCTTAATATAGCGATTTTTCGAGAAAATTTGAATTTTTAGTTATATCATCGTGATTGCGCCCCCTAGCGGCCATATTAGAAACTTGAAAATATTTTCCATCAATTTCTCTTGGCCGATTTAGTGAAGAAAAAAAAATCCCGATACCGTAAGGCCTATGGTTTCCATAATAACGTACCTCGTCGACCTTAGTGGGACACCCTGTATAGCTTGATTTTTTCACATTTAAACTAAGTTTGTGGTAACAGAGCCAATCGCTTATTTTCTGTAAGTCTTCTTCAATTATGATTTTTAAGTTAGCAGGGTCCTTGTCAAAATAAGTGATGCAAGTATCATCTGCATATAAACTGAGAGAGCCCTGGAGAGGTATGTATGACAGTGAGTTCATGTAGACTAGGAAGAGTGTGGGTCCCAGAATTGAGCCTTGGGGCACTCCGTGTACGATGTTTTCAATTTTACTTCTGTTACCTTCACATTCAACATACTGTAGTCTGCCCGACAGATAGTCCCTAAACCACAGTAGTGCTGAACCTCCAATACCAGTTTTTTCAAGCACCTCTATGAGAATTTTGTGATTTACTGTGTCAAAAGCTTTTCTTAAGTCCAGCGAGACAAGTACACACTTATATCTCTTATCAACCTTTTCATAAATATTTGTAATTAGGTCTGTAGTTGCTGAGGAGGTACTGCAGTGCTCTCTGAATCCATATTGACCCGCATACCAAAAATTTATTCCATCCAAATAACTGGTTAATCTCATATTTACACAGGTTTCCAATACCTTAGACATAGCTGGGAGCAGGGAAATGGGCCTGTAGTTGTTTAGTTCTGTGCTATCACCACCCTTAAATAAAGGGACAACCTTGGCCATTTTAAACAAACTTGGTACAGATGCAGTATTAAAAACAAGATTTATCAACTTACATAAAATAGGCGATATTTCATTTTTCAATTCCTTGATTGTATCAATGCCCAAGCTGTCAGTTCCAGGTGATTTTCCTGGTTTTAATTTGTTTATAACTGCAGTGACCTCCTCTGTAGTCACAGGTTCCCATTGATTTATATAGGCAGTAAAAGCTGGTTGGAGTTGAGGGGAAATTTTCACATTTTAAATTGCTTAAAAACTAAAAATTGAACTTAAAACAATGAAAACAACAGAAATTAAAAATCACCTATTGGGTATTGTAATATTACTTAATATAATATTAATAAAATAAAAATCAAATATACATTATTCTTATTCATTAATTTTGATTAGTTCAATGAAAATATTATTTTTCCAATGAACAGTGGCTAATTCCATAATATCTTTTAATTCTTCATTATTAAGTGTTATCTCATATATTGGACTATCCTGTTCAAATGTTGGAAAAGCAACACAAAACAAATCCTTCTTTTTATTCGAAAAGAACATGTTCAATTGCAATTGAAAATAGAATTTCTTATTTATTATGTCATGTTTTACATAATTCTCAATATTTTTTTCCCTACTTGGAGATTTGATTTCTATAACAAAGTCAGAGCTTATACCATCTGGAGATGCCCTAAATATAGAAAATTCTTTATGGATAAGTATGCCACTATTCTTTATTTCAATATCTCTCATTTTTTCCACGCATTGAAGAACCTGTAATTCAAGTTGTTTTCCTCTCGACATTGCTTCGGTCTCTACTGGCTTCGAAACACCCATAATTCTCTCCACCAAATATCCACCTGGTGTTTTGCATCTAGCAGCTTCATATAAAATAGAAGCTGTTATCCTACCAAACCGCATTTTGTACCAATCCTCAGAATCAGATTGATTGATAGTAGCTTTTTTTGAGCAATTTCTATATCCCGATTTAGGAAATTACTTTTCATGAACAGCATAAAAGTTTCAACTTCATGGGACCTAAATGATGCTTTATATTTTAAAATTACATGAAACAAGTCAAACTTGTTTAATGGAGATTCAAAATACAGATCAAAAATTCCTCCACTTTGTCTGCCTGTAGCATTTAAGAAAGTTTATACCAGGTTTTCATCTTTTTCGCCTAAACTGCTTTTGTTTTTTCCTGCCACGTCTGTTAAGGATATATAGGAATCCTGTTTTTCCACTCTGGAAAGAGTAGAACTTTTCCAGTAGCATTCTTTGGATGTTGGTTCTGCACTTCGCCTATGTACCCAAAACAAAAATCCCACAGCACGTTTGCATCTCCCTGTTTAAGTAAAAAGGGAATTTATTATGCCTAAAGTCTATTTGGAAATGCGAGACCATTGCACATCAATGACATAATCGAATCGCCATAGGCGTCCCATATATTTTGATGAACAACTGGTATTTTGAAATGTTGGTTTTGTTTATTAATATCTCGATTAATCAAATAAAATAAATCTAAATAAAACACCCTCTAGTCCTCTCCTATGCAACACAAATGGTGGTTCAACACCTTTTCCAAATGTAATTATTTTAATATTATTTATTAAACAAATACTCGGATGAATCAGGATTAAAGATTTATTTATCAATATGAAAAATATATACTTGTTTACGTTTTACAATAATATTGACAACTGTCAATAATGTCAACTATCATTAATCACTTGGTTGGTTAAGGGTTGTTTACACATTACCGCTAAAGGTTGGTATACATAAATACTAATAACTAATCTAGCTCCGCTCAAACACCTCCCCTTCAAAGATTGAGGCGCCTAGGGGCTTTCACACAACGACCGTATCGGGAGCGCACATTTGAAGTTTCGCTTTCACTATTGTTTTTGCACTGTGACTTATGTCTAACATTTTGAGGTGATGGCGGAAAACCTAATAAGTCTGGGGTGCTACTACTTGATGAGTGTTGAGGACTTTGTGGAGGACTAGTCAAAGGAGTCCTAAAAGATCTTACAGCGCCTGGACTATTAGTATTCTGTATAGGAACTACATTGTTAGGATGAACATCATCATTATTATTAGAACTTTCATTGGGGTACAATTCAGGTTCACACAATAATTTATATTCAGAATTTGACGATGACATTTTCATATGTGAAGTATTACGCCTAACGATTTTATTATTATTTTCTTTCTTTACCCAATAAGATCTCGGCTCAGATGCGTTTTCAACTACAATTGCTTTCTGCCAAGTTTTTTCTTTATGAGTTTTTATTACTACTTTATCCCCCTTTTTGTACTCCAATGATTTTCTGCGAGTTAACTTGTCAAAATTGGATTTCATGATTTGTTTTTGTTGACAAAGTTTATCATAAATATTTTTCTGTATTTTTGGTTCCAGTTTTTTAGAAGTTACAGGTAACTCTGTTTTTAGAATTCTACTATGTAAAATCTGTGCAGGAGTAGCATTCAGACTCATTATGGGTGCATTATTATACTCTAATATACATTCTCTATAATCACGCTTATCTTCATAACTTTTCCTTAAAATTTGTTTAGCTATGCTCACTGCCTTTTCTGCCATTCCATTGCTTTGATGGTAATGAGGTGAACACGTAGTTATAGTAATATCTTTACTTTTGTAATATTTTTTGCAATGATTTGACACAAAGGGCAGGTTGTCGCCTATAATAATATGAGGGTAACCAAATCTAATAAAAATATCCTGAAAAGCGTCTATGACAGATTTTGAGGTTTTATCTTTTAAGCAAATTAATTCTAACCAATGTGAAAAATGATCTATTAATACTAAATAGTTTTTTCCTGCAAACTCTACAATATCTACAGCGACTTTATTGAATCTTAATCGTGGGACGCTATGTGGCAAAAAAGGTTCTTTGTAGTTTGCTGGTAGGTACTTTTCACATACACGACAGCCTTTAATAAAGTTCGCAATGTCGTTATACAAACTTGGCCAATAAAATAGAGTTCTAGCTTTATTTGTTGTCTTGCTAATGCCAATATGACCTTTATGCAACAGTTTGATCATTTCTAGTCTTAGTTTTTGGGGAACTATAATTTTGTGTTCAACGAAAATAATACCTGCTTCTACATAAATAGAATCTTTAAAAGAGTAAAAAGGTTTACAATCTGAAGTCATATTATGTTCTTTAGGCCATCCATTGCAATAAAAGTCATGAATTTTTAATAGAATTGGATCTTTGCTTATTTCTAGTCGAAACCGATCTTTTTTTTCTTGACTCATCGGTAAATACTTAGATACTAAGTGGACCATTTCGAACATGTCAGGGTCTGGTGAGTCTTTAACTTGCAAGCTTGACCGTGACAACATATCTGCAAATTGTACATTCTTACCTGGTACATAGTAAACATTTAAAGAGTACTTCATCAGTTTAATCCTAAACCTTTGAAGCCTAACTGAACCTATCTTTTGAATCGGTTTCTTCATAATTGAAATGATTGGCTTGTGATCAGTTTGTACGTCAACTACTTGTCTGTAGATGAAATCATGGAATTTTTGAGTACCAAAATAAATGGCTAAAAGCTCTTTCTCGGTTTGACTATAATTAACTTCATGATCGTTCATTGATCGCTAAGCACAAGCAACCAACTTCAATGTATTGTTCCCATATTTTTGGAACATACAGCAACCTAAACCATTCTTGGATGCGTCACACTGTAAAACTGTTTGTCCTGATGGGTCAAATGGAACAAGAGCTGGTGTCTTAGTTATGACATCTTTTAACTGGTCAAAAGCTTGTTGGTGTTTAGGCAACCATGCCCACTCAACATTATTTTTAATTAATTGACATAAAGGGTGCATTAATTCTGACATGTTTTTGACATACCGTCTCACATAGTTAAAAGAACCAATAATTCTCTGTAATTCTACTTTACATGTAGGTGGTTGAAGTTTGCACAAAGACTCAACCCTGTCAGCATCAATTTGCATGCCATTTTGAGAGAAAATTTGCCCCATAAACTTAACCTGGCTCTGACAGTATTGAAATTTGTCTTTGTTGAATTTTGCGCCAACTTCTTTAGCTCTCTGAACAACTTCAGCTACTGCTAAGTCATGCTCTTGTTTTGTTTTTCCATAGATAATCATATCATCATGACAGGTGACTACATTTTGTAAATTTGAAAAATGTTTATCGACTTCATCTTGAAACAAGTCTTGCGAATTAGATAATCCATAAGGTAAAACAATAAATCGGTACACACCAAATGGAATTGCGAAGCAACACTTCCATGAGGATTCCTCATTAATCTCCAGGTGGTGGTAACCTTCAGAAAGATCAAAAACAGTAAAATATTTATTATCTCTTAACCTTGAGCAAATTTCTTCTATATTTAATCCTAAAAGCGGAAAATGCATTTGAGAAAGGGAAACTAAATTTCAGAAAATGGAAATTATAATTCAGAACAGGAAGTTATTATTCAGAATATGGAATTTGAAATTCAGAAAAGGAACATAATATTCAGAAATGGGAATTTGTAATTCAGAATAGGAATATGGAATTCAGAAAGGGGAAATTTAATTCCAGAAAATGTAAATTGTAATTCAGATATGCAATTTTGAAAATCGGAAATAGGAAAATGTAATTCAGAATTGGTAACATGTAATTCAGAATCAACAACTATGAGTGTTTTTTTTTTCAATTTTCAAATTTGTTTCGCAAAACACGGGAGTGCTATCCCCGTTTATTAATTTATCGTCAGTAGAGTTTTACATGAAAATATTTTTCGCGAACCCAGATAAAAAAATCGTATTCATACAAACTAAGTTTTTTTTTTTTTTTTGTGACTACACTCTACAAACACCGTTAAGTAATTACATGTAGAGGAGGAAACATTCACTAATACAACCATGCACCTTGCCGGGACTTGAACCCGGGACCATCGGCATGCGAAGCAGATCACTATCCACTACGCTGCCTAGGTGGCGTAGTGGTAGTTTTATTCAGTAAAGTAGGTATACCCAAGTATACCTAAGTACATAATTACATTTTTATGAAAAATGTTAAAAATTAACATACTTCTAAAAAAAATTACCAAAGTATAAGTTGATAACCTAATTTCCAAATGCAATTCAAAATTTCAGTCACTGACCAACTGGCATATCCTCTAATGCTAGCACCGCGGCATGGATGGTGGTTGAATATTGGGCTGCACCTGCGCAGTCGCCTCCCATAATTGTATCTTTATTAATGTCTATAATTTCCTCTAGATATTGTAATCTCTTTTCTTGAACACCTGAAGCCGCTACCTCAGGGACTCTAAGATTGGTTTTGACCCCCATTTTCAATTTTGATCAAACTGTTTCTATCGAGTTCAGCATAGGCGAATACGGACCTAATCTTAGCAAAGTGGCTTCTGTCATATTAGTAACAACCTCTAGCCTAGAGTGACAGGAAGCGTTATCACATACAATGACTAAGTCAGAAAGGTGATTGCCCAATTCTTCCAATGTCCTTATTAGTATCTGGATCGACTCATTTGCTAAGAGCGCCGTGAAGGATCCTCTTCTCCTTTCCATTGCTACTACACCAGCAGCAGAAATAGCACCAATTACGTGTACATTTGGACCTCGAGCTGACGGAAGTTGTTGAACTGCGCGACACCCAGCTTTGGAACGTCCTCGAGATCGTCAACAAAATAAGTTGAAGTTTGTCTCGTCGACCCGTCAAGCCAAACAATTTGTTTGGCTTGACGGATAAAATTATTAAGTGACCGCACATATTCAGCACGTTTAATTTTGTTTTCCGGACCGCTCATAGAGACTGGTTCTGTATGAGCTTCCTTCAAAATAAACTTTAGGTTTGCTTCCACCCTTTTTAAGCATACTATCTCTTCCCGATCGAACCCACTGAAATGCAGTT